ATCAGCACACGGGGTCAAACCGCCACTTGCTTCATGCCATCAAAATAGTGTATGGTACAGACAGCATTGACACATTAATGACCAATACAGCTTCTGTCGGCAACTGTATTTTTGCCGACTACAGTGATGTAGTCAGCAATACTACAGTATTGCCGACAGTGGCTATCGGCCATAACCAGTGACGTGTGCCGACTCTGAGCCATCGTGGCCAATACTGTCGGCCATAACCAGTGACGTGTGCCGACTCTGAGCCATCGTGGCCAATACTGTCGGCCATAACCAGTGACGTGTGCCGACTCTGAGCCATCGTGGCCAATACTGTCGGCCATAACCAGTGACGTGTGCCGACTCTGAGCCATCGTGGCCAATACTGTCGGCAATAACCAGTGATGTGTGCCGACTCTGAGCCATCGTGGCCAATACTGTCGGCCATAACCAGTGACGTGTGCCGACTCTGAGCCATCGTGGCCAATACTGTCGGCTAAACCAGTGACGTGTGCCGACTCTGAGCCATCGTGGCCAATACTGTCGGCCATAACCAGTCATTTGGGCCGACTCGAGGCCTTCCTCTGGACATCCGCCCTTCGCTCATATACCTCCCTGAATGTACCCCCGGCAATGCATTATCACCCTGTGCAATGTTTGTGCATATTACATCAATTACAACGGCAATGGGCTATAGCTTTCATACGGGACAACATGCATCGATTTCAACACCGCAACAAACGTTGATTTACCGTGGCATCAACATTGTTGCTTATCCAACTTAGTTCACCTATATGAATAAACCCTTAAACATACCTGTGGAATTGCTATTAGTATTTGCATTTGTATTTTGTTATCTGGTTACGTCGTAGCACAAAACAAGAAAATGGCCAGACGTCGGCTTTATTAGCAGGAGGCATGTTATCTTCTGCTTATAATTGGACATCTCTGAGGACACAGCAGTCAGCGCTTACATACCGCCCACTGACCAAGCCCCGAGCCGTCATCGCGCAACGTATGCCTCTCAAATTGTGTCAGGAGATGTCAGATCGTGAGTCGTCAAATTCAGCACCAGATAGGACGGTTTGGTTCTAATATAAGACAACATATGGGATGGGGGAGGGAGAGGCAGTCAGTCAATAAGGTGAGAATGAGTTGCGTGACTTCAGTACCGTTTTGGCCTTGCCTATCGCGGCATCCGCTCTCGTTGGAGTTTGTTCAGAGCCAGTCCGCGCGCTGTTGACTTTCGTGCGACGCTTGTGCGCAAGATATTTCCGTTCGCACTCATTGATGAGACATGTGTACATCTCCAGTATTGCGGTCCGCTGCTTGCCGCACGCGTCCACACATCCATCTGTTGCCTGCCACGAATGTGGCCACACACACGCAGCCAAGTGTGGCTTCCCGCACACGTCCCCACACAACCACATGTTTATTGTCATGTGTCCCGTGAGGTGTTTTAATGTTCCCTCCGCGCTGTCCCGGTGCAGCCTTACATTACGTTTCGCGCGTGTTCCCAATGCAGCGGCCCGGTGCGTCCACCGCGAGCCCGGCACCTCAGCCTCTCACGGCCAGCGGGCGCCCGGCACCTCAGCCTCTCACGCCACCGCAGCCCGGCACCTCAGCCCTCACGGCCAGCGGGCGCCCGGCACCTCAGCCCTCACGGCCAGCGGGCAGCCCGGCACCTCAGCCTCTCACGTCCACCGCGAGCCCGGCACCTCGGCCTCTCACGGCCAGCGGGCGCCCGGGCGCCGCCGGCGGCCGCGGCCCCGCTCCGTTATTACGTCCGGTATTGGGGCGGGCGGCGGCCGTTCGTGGGGAGCATCTGGCGCGACCCACCGCCCTATCTCCCGTCCCAGTGAGTTGGTCCGATCGCGCGAGAAACGCGAACCGATGGCGCTATTCATTGCGGTGCGGCGCGGCGCGGCGGGGCGTGCCGTTGCCGGCCAGCGGGCGACAATGGCGGCGAGCGACGGCATCTTCACAGCCAGTCACGAGCCACGGGCATTCGGCCGTGCTGGGTCACAGTGACGCGGGTGCCGTTCGCGGACTGAGCCAGCCTCAGCTGTGGACGGTTGGGCGAAACGGAGTCGCCGCGGCCACATCGGCGGCGCTTTTCCGTAGTAACTGTGACCTAAACGGGCTGCGTATTTATAGAGAATACACGCGGCAGGACTCGTCATCAGGTCATTGCCCGCAACTCAGTGCATGGAGGCCCAGACCCAGCTTAATCCGAACCTATGCTGGATATATCTGAGACTGTGTGCCAGCTTGTCTGGCGTTCGTCTAAGCTTTCCTGGAATAGGATAATGACATGCGACCCCGGTGTAAGCGATGTAAAAGCTGGTGCCGTAAGCGTTTCTGATGCTCAGTCCCCATGCTCAAAAAACAATCAAATCCCTATATTTGACGCAACATTTTGAGAGAAGCATCACAGCTAAAGCCGTCCCGTTCGGTTTCCATTCAGTCTTCGTGCCTTTCCGTTTCACATGTGAAAGTCTGATAACGACGTGAAACGTACCATATGTATTCATGTTATCACAGATGTTCATTAGCTCGTGCGAAGACTCTGGATCCAAAACAGTATCATCAGCATCATCATTAGCATTATTGTCGGCATCCTCACCGTTGTCGACATTGTTTTCGGCGCGCTGCGCGACAATAGACGCCACTCCAGGACGCGCAAAACTCGCACACAGAGCAGAGAGACAAGCAGGAGAGAGCACAGCACAGCACAGCACAGCACAGCACGGCACAACAGCGCTACCCTGACCGCATCTGGCCGGGGGACGAGAAATGTCATACTAGAGCCCTTGAACAGGGAACACAGCACCGCCCCAACGACCACGCAGTCCAGCAAGAGAGCACAGCAGAATCTCCAGTTAGCAAGGGAACACAGCGCATCAGACCCTCCGGAGTAGCCCGTCAGCGCAACAGGCCCTCCAGAGTAGCACGGCAGCGCAGCAGACCCTCCAAATCAACACAGGAGCGCAGAACACCCTTCAGATCGGAGTGGGAACACGGCAGATTTCCAGTTTAGCAGGGACACGTAGCCACTGGCTCGCTCCTCATGACCAGCCGAAGGCAGCTCCAACAGGACTCCGTGCGCCAGCTGACAGCCGCAGAGTCCAGGGAGGCAGCGCGGCGACGCGACGGTACTCGGAACAGTTGCACAGCTGATTGGAACTCATGGCGTGGCAGGCGACGTGTTCGTGCTGCGTGGTCCCGTGTAACGCAGTCATCTTTTGAATGACAAATGCTGAGGTACATAGTGCAGTTTCGTTGTTTAATTTTTCTTCTGCCCGCAATTCGAAGATGGCATGCAAAATCTTACTCGACCTGTGAACAGTCAAATTTACTCATGTATCGTGAGATTGCATTCGACCGCTGCAAATGCCTGCGAAGGGTGCTTTGTCGTAACTTGAGCAAAGTGCGTGCAAATGAAATGAAAATTATACGTACATTTGGGCAAGTAGCATGAAGCTGAAATACGAGGCAGCGGGAGACGCAGCCTCGAGCCGGGCTGCGCGCCGCCGACGGAGCGAACAGCACTGCGCCTCGATAGGCAGTAGACGGCGCGCGAGGTACAGTGGCATCACACCTGCTGCTTAAGCCATCATCACACTGAGAACAGCTGTGAGGCCTGATGATAGGCAGTAGACGGCGCGCGAAGTACAGTGGCATGACACCTGCTTAAGACATCTTCACACTGAGAACAGCTGTGAGGTCTGATGATGGCGGTCTGGCTGAGGGTCCACAGCCTGTCTCAACAGCGGGCCCCAAACCTGACCGAGACCACACTCAACAACACAGCACGTGCAACAAGAAGGGACATCAGAATTGCGCGAACACGGCACATCCATCGGTATGCTGGACAGAGACGTCCGACAGCATGGGGGTCGCGGATGGGAGGGCGGGAAAGGCACAGTCTTAGCCCCGTCTCCGGCCGACACCACGCGACCTCGTGTCAATAGTACGGGTGTCACGCTGCCTCTCCCCTCCCCTCCCCACCACCCTGTCCGGCCAACAATTGTGACCTGATTACAGGCAGTCGCGCCAGCCGGCCACGTCATATAAAAATAGCATGTGGCGAGAACTCTCCGGCCTTACACTCAGTACACGCAGAGAACCGAGGGGCGCAAGGCCACGCCGGGAAAATCTCCGAGAGTCCAGTGCCATTTCGGCATAGGGGATTCAACGTCACGGCTCCGGTTCACGTGAGAAGAATGCGACCGCCTCACTACCTCCCGGGACCATTGTTCAGCTGTTCAGCACAGCTCGGTTTCATTCTCATGATCGAAGAACTTGCCAATCATCGATCACCTGGAAACAAATGATGCAGTGAGTTGGGGCACTGTGGTGTATGGCAGTTGTTTAGGTGCGCGCCTGCGCACCAGGCAATTGGCACAGTTGCGCCAGAGTTGTCCCTGTTGTGGGTTTTGGGGTTTGGTGCTGTGGCGTGCGTGGCGGTGGACGCGACCGGGTCGGTCGCGTCAAACGTTATGCTATTTTTATTGTTGTGATTACCGAGGCCTTGGGGGAAATACTGACAGTAACGCCTCTCGTAGTGTTTGGTCAGACAGCGAGAGCGGACCGGATATTACAGGCACGCATGGCGCTTCGCCTAGTGAAGCCAGCGGGCAGAGGACGACGGTACATGCAACATCGATCACTCATCGACGCATGTCACTGCCGCGTCTGTTGACGAGGCAATCCTGCTATTCTCCAATCAATTCCACTCAATTTTTGATTTAATTACGAACCATCCAAACTGCAACACTCATGTCGCTTTGAGAGCAATAACATATGTATCATTCAGCAATTAATGAGGTAAAGCTGACATACCACGCTAACACCACGGACGGACGATCCTTCCCACTCCCCCTCTCTATTGTTATAAACCATGATTACATAGATCAACTCTTTCGACGGAGGCACCTACGAATGCGACCGACGCCGAACAGGGCCGCCGTACCGGGCGCGGGCGCTGCCGCTAGGAGACGCCGTCGGGCGGCGTGCTTCCGGCCGCTGCCGCGAGGCGGCGCGCGCGCACAATCTTCAGGTGGCGCTGTATGTACTCCTCGTGCGGTGCTAGCCGGGCGGCGCGCAGCAGGCAGGCCTCAGCGCTGGCTAGCTCGGCCCGCTCCACGTACACCACGCACAGGTTGTGCAGACCCTGCACGTTGTCCGGCTCCAGCTGCAGAATCCGCTGGTAACACTGTGAGGTGTGGGCGGAGATGTAAGTGTGAGGTGTGTGATGTGTGAGATTGGCGGAAATGGCCGTCAGCTAGAAGTGACCGAGAAGACTGTACTTGTCCAATGTTCATTACTAGTCGATGCGTTTGGGAGTCGTGGTGACACCACAAAATGGTTTTTGGTCAACAAAAATACATAAACATTTTTGAAGCGATCCATTCCGTGCATCGCCATAGTCCTAATTCGACACCTGTTTTCTTCGGGAGGGGGAGCAGGCCACCCCAACAAAAGCAGTCAAAATCCACGCTCCCGCTTTCCGATGGTGGAACTTAAGAGAGCCGAGCACCAACAGGGATCTTAGGGGCCACTTCGACAAAATGCGCCGCAGAGTAACGGACAAATGAAATAGTACTCTTACATAAACAAGATAAGCTGCCGGCATTACAAGGCCAATATTCACTGTCCATCAGAGGTATTGCCACACCCCGGCCAGATGAGCCCGCACATCTTGCACGGCCATTTGTGCCTCACAACTTGTGCTCCCAGGTTGAGCATTCGGCTCCGTCTGACGGCAGCGCTGACGATTCTTCCATTTTGTGAGTCACGCAGCGGCCAACACCATTCCCTCCCACTGGGGTGCCTGTTACCGGGAGAAAGGGGGGGAGGGGAGGGGGCTGTGACGGAGAGACCTTTTGCGACCGCGGACGTCAATATCTGCCGGCTACTTGGATGAGGTGTAGCCGGCCTACCCGCTCCGCCTAGTCCAAGCCGACTGAAGCTACGGAGGCCCACCTACCCGCTCCGCCTCGTCCAGGTCGTTCATGTTGTTGACGTAGATGTGTCCAAGCAGGATGAGCGCCTTGACATGGTCCGGGTGGTGGCGCACCAGCCGGTGAAGGAACGGTGCCGCCTGCAGCGGCCGGTCCGCGTCGCTCAGTAGCAGCGCCAGGTTGAACAGCGCGCTCCGGAAGTCCGGCTTCAGCTCGATCGCCTGCGGCAGCGGCGGGTCACGGAGGGTATCACCACTACGGCACCAGGGCAGCCAGGCAGAAGCTGGTGTGCAGTCACCACCACGGCAAAAGGGCAGGCTAACAGGTGCTGGTCTGCAGTCATCACCATCACGGCACCGAGGCAGGCTAGTAGGTGTTGGTCTACAGTCATCACCATCACGGCACCGAGGCAGGCTAGTAGGTGCTGGTCTGCAGTCATCACCACCGCGAAATCGGGGCAGGCTGGCAGGAGCTGGTCTGCAGTCATGCAGGGTACAGCAGGGTACAGCTCCTCTGCTATCAAGCGGGATACAGCAGGGTGCAACTGGTCTGCTGTCACGCAGGGCACAGCAGGCTATGCTGTACCTGCCCAGCTGCCATCACCGGCTGCCGTTCAGTGATATGCCGTCACTGATTTCCACCAACCGGCACATTCGTCACCAGGGAATAGTCAGACCTTAGCTGCAATGTTTCTGACAGTTAACGACGTGCCAATATCGAGACTTACGAAAAAAGTACTAGACGCAGCTTTCTGCACCATCGCCCCCGTCAACATGTGGGAAGTTACAAGCATTTACGAAAATCCGTGGCAGTAGCGCTCTGCCTCACAGCACGTAGGCTATCCCAGCCTCTAGCCTCCCCCACCCTCCCGCTCGCTCCCGCACCCCCGGCCGCCATAACCGCTCGGGGCCCTAACAGCATCCTCCGCACCTTTCTAAAATGCGTCTCTGCGGTCAACAGGTCCTGGTCGTCCATGGCCAGCATGCCCAGGTTGAAGTGGACCCGCTCGGCGTCCACCACGGTGGGCTGCAGCTGGAGCAGCCGCCGCAGCCGCTGGTAGGCCCGCGGCCGCAGCTGGCCGCTGCCCAGCTCCTGGATGAGCACGGCCGAGTTGAGCAGCGCCTGCTGGTGGTCCGGGTCGTACTCGAGCGCCTTGTCTAGGTAGGCGAGCGCCTGCGCCTGCCGCCCCTGCTCCAGGTACACGATACCCAGCTGCGGAAACAGGCGGAGGGTCAGGAGTCCTGCCCAGGCGGTGAAAGGCCGGAAGTCAGGAGCCCTGCCCAGCTGCGGGGACAGGCGGAGCGCAAGGAGCCCTTCCCAGCTTCGAGCGCGGGGGTCAATTGCACAGTGGGTGTAAATATAACCATATTATATGTATAATGTAAATAGACTAATCAGTGGGTCAGCTACACACGATGCCAAAAGAACATCTCTGAGATGCCTAAAAAGTCGGCTTTGGAATCTTGGTGAGCATTACCGACGCTGGTAGTGCCTTGTTCCACCTGGGTCTTGGGACTAAAAGCTCAACAAACATTTGGCTACGCTCCGTCGAAACGGGATCATCATGAAAGCTGATGAAGAGCGATACAACTTGGAAATAATCATCTACTTTTTTTAAAGCTTTTCTAAGCCTGCTGCTCTTTATTTTTTTTGCGGTAGATAGAAACATTGGAGATACTTGGCAGCATCATTATAGCTTTGCGCTCAGCATAGCTGCATGGCATAGCTAAAATGTTTATATCGTCCACAGTACAAAGTAATTCAGATGAAAATTTTGTACATTTTGGGACATTCTCTGAGACCAAAACGAAATATCCAATAAACGTAGTCACAGAACACACCGCCGTTGCGGCGAAGCCGATGTATAGCGCGCCATCCTTGCCACATCTGATCGCTACACAGCAAACACTCACGTTGTAGTAGATGTCGGGGTTGTTGCTGTCGTAGAAGAGCGCCGTCTCGTAGGTGCGCTGCGCCTCCTTGGTGCGGTTCAGCTTGATGAGCACGTCGCCCCTGTTGATGTAGGCCTGCGTGTAGTCGGCGCGCATGCTGATGGCCTGCCGGTAGAGGGCGTCCGCCTCCTCCAGCCGCGCCGGGTCGCGCGCCACCAGACCGGCCAGGTTGAGCAGCACACTCAGGTGGCTGGGCGCCACGCGAGCCTCGTACACCTCCCCCGGCTTCACCTGGGGCAGCAGCGACTTCGCCTGCGGGCGGGGGAGGAGAAGGGGTACAGGGAGGCAAAGACGTGAGCCTGCGTTGGCCAAACTTGGCCTGTGTCGTGAGAGATCGCGCTAGGACGATTTCAACAGCCGAAGACTGCGCAGCTCGTCTGTATTGCTGTTGTTGAGCAGTCAACTGTTGTTGATCAGCGCGCCGATGAGGCCGGCGTAAGAGGCATGACCGGCCGCCGACACCCGTACCTCTCCGGGTGCCGACAGCAACGGACGGTTCACGGGCTGCCACTCGCAGCCCAGATACTGCACCGGCAAATACTCTTCAGGTCCGTTTAACGCGTCTGGTTGGCGGGGGTTAACGATAGTTAATGGCTGGAAACGCCCATGCATGTTTCAGCAGAAGTGGTCTAAAATGAAACGCTGGGGTTATTTTTTAGTGAGCGCGGT